AATATGTTAATTCTGAGTTTATTGCTTTTCAGGATGGAATCCTGTGTTCATTTTTTCTGAAGCAAGCTTTGGGGAACCCAGCACGATTTCCGAGACTCCCAAACGAGTCTCTCTAAATCTGCTTGGATCCGCAGATCCAAATCAAAATGAAAAACAATTCTCGCATACATAACTATAACACAATAGTAGAGCTGCAGGAATAGAAAAAAAAAGTTTGATGTTTATTTAAAAGTATGGGTCCCACCTTTTACATAAGTTAATAAGTAAACAAGAAATGAGTGGTAACTAATAAAATCTAAATCCAAACAAGTGATAACATTGTTTCCATTTAACAGTTCCAGCTATGAGGAGCCTTTGCATGTATCTTGGCTGAATCATTTTATCAGTGCAGAACTGAGTCGCCAACCTTTCTTCACATTAATGAAACACTGCTAATAACGTATTTAGCCATACCCAGAGAAATTTATTCCAATTTCAAAACTTAAAAATCAGAGCAAACTGCAGATTAGTATGAAAGTCTTGAATCAACTTTATCCCTGTTTTTCAAATGGGGACACACACACTTGTGTGTGTGTGTGTGTGCAAATCTCGTAATGTGTTTAATGCTTTAAAAATCAGTTAATCTTGCTGGAGAAACAAATGCTTGAGAACCTCTGATGTTATGCTTGAAAAACTGCCTTATAATGAGCTTATAAGTCTAGAACAGAATTTTATTGTGATGGTTTAATCAACCGTGAAATCTAAAACCAAATTCATTGTTTTAAATGTATTCCAGATGGAAAACAAAATGTGGAGTGCAAGAAAAAAGAACAAAAAAAGCAAAGGAAGAAATCATACAGTTCTACCAATTCGATTGATAATTTGATGGCGGAAATGCCATTTGGTGAAGCAGATATTGAACTTGAATTTAGCAGTAAGTTTAGTAGAATAGAACTATGAAACTTTGTTAGATTGGATGTTCACATTGTAGTTAAGCAAACAAGTACCATTTAGGCCAGTTTTTTCCCCCTAACCTTTGCCATTTCAAATTCCAGGTCTTGTCAGGTTTCCCTTTCGAAATAGCTAGAAATTTCCTTTTTCTGAAATATATTTGAATTCAAAATTATTCAGTATAAGAATTCTTTCTATGAAGTAAAAGCTTTCTGCTTTCTAATGCTTGCTGGTGCTAACCTTGTAGGGAAATGCCACAAAAGGGCAATTTCAATAATGAAAAATGCAGTTAAAACATTTAATAAAGAAAGGTGGGATTGCTTGATTGTACATCTGAAGCAACTAACTAAAAGATTAAGTGTGACCAGGGTGTATGAACACAGAACTAATTAAAGCTTTAGGAGCAGAGCAGGAGGAGCCTTAATAAGTACTCTGCAAAGGCCACCTGGAACCGAATGATGTTATAATTTGAGTTTTACATTTCAAAACATGCACAAATGGTACACTTACACAAGCACTCTGAAAAAATAACATGGATTTAAGGTGCCATAGAAGATAACTGGAATACCAGAATTTTGAAGCAAGATTGTATGAGTGTCTTAGAAAAAATGAACAAACTAGTGCACCTTCTGTAAAAAAACAATATTTTGTAATCATCTTAACCTCACTATGTTTTATGTTTATAACATAAAAACTTTTGAAACTTTTCAAAGCTTGAATTTTTAGCCATGACAAATGTTTGTTTGGTTTGTTTGTTTGATTTTTTCCATTAATGTATTAAAGTTTGAATTGAAAACAAAAATTAGCAGGATTAAGCAAACTGGTACCAGATATTTGGAGCTTAGTGCTCTCTTAGTTTGGTTGTTCATTTGCAGACATTTCATTACCTGACTAGATCATATCATCAGTGCTAGGGATATGGAGTTTGCTTCCTACCATAGCTTGCCTGCCAGTGTTGGTGGGGGTGTGGTTTTCTCCTTGACAGTTTGTTCATTTAGAGTATTGGTTTTGGCTAGATTGCTTGTCTTGAACACGGATGTGTACTTAAACACATCCTCTGCAGCAATCAACACCCAGTTTAAGACCAGATGAGCAATCTAGTAGAAGGCAATAGCCTAATCAAAGAACTAGCAAAGAGAAAATAATATCCCCACATATGCTGGTTGTATACAAACAGGTAGCAAATTCCATGTTCCCTAGCACTGATAATGTTACTATCAACTTTGCAACGAACCTGGCTGAAGCCATCTTGCTCGTTTTCAGTTGCCACAAGAATAGGGGGAGGAGGGGTGGGGAGTTTTATGTTAGTCTAAACAATTCTCTGTCCATAGGAACCAAGGTCATTCCTGTTCATTAGATTGGGGGGGGGGGGGCTAAGCCTTATGTTAGAAAGCCCGCCAAACTATTCTATTGGGAAACGTAGTTGATTGCATAGTTTCTGGGGAGGGAAGTTAACTTTGTAATAATGTAACTTTTTGGAGGGAACTTTAATCTTGGTTTCACTTTTGACTGTGCTGATACTTTGTAGCCAATAAACATGTTCTTAGAGGAAAACTCAATCTTCGGAGTTCTGCTTTAATTGGTCTCACCTATTGTAACCATGACAGTTACCTTATCGGGTAATGAAATATCTGCAAGCAAACAGCAAGTTTGGAGAGCCCCAAAGACCCCACAATTCAACACTGAGCTACATATATTCTCTTCTGTTGGATTCTGGGCTTTAATTATCGTTGGTTACTGCCAAGTGTAGCCAGTGGCAAGGAATTGCAGTTCAAAATATGTGGAAGCTCCAGGTTTTATTTCTTAATAAAATATTTGCACTGGAGCCAGATTTGTACTAAGCAGTGTGTTATTGGGGTTTTTTTAACATTGAAAAAAAGAGGGAAATGTGGGCGTTGTTTTTAGTTCTTCCTTCTGCGCTTCTTAGCATTACTTCCAAGGGTGGATGTCTATGGAAATTCTCCTTAGTCATCCAGGTCATGGGTGTCCCAAAGGTGCTTTTTTCAAAAGGCAACTGGACTTTCTTTATTTTGCTTGAAGACATTTCACTTCTCATCCAAGAAGCTTCTTCAGTTCGGAGCTTCAGTTCAGAACCGAAGAAGCTTCTTGGATGAGAAGCAAAACATCTTCAAGCAAAACAAAGAAAGGCCAGTTGCCTTTTGAAAAAGCAGCTTTGGGACTTCCAAGGACAGAGAAACATCTTGAACCATATAGAGGTGTTGTTGTTTCTGACTAAGAAAGGATGAAACGTTAGCATTCAGATTTGGAAATGAGGATAAAATAATGTCTGAATGGCATTTTGATGTAGTATTTATCAAATGTTTTGCATTGTTCTACTTACATGTGCTTACAGTATAATAACTATTTTGATTTCTACCCAGCCTCGAGCAAATCTAAACCATCTGTTAAAAAGAAGAGAAAGAGAACAGCTGGAAAGGGAAATGAAGAAGACAACACAATAAAGAAGAAAAAGAAGAACCAAGACAGACCCAATTATTTCATTTCTGTTCCAATCACAAATCCAAAGGTGATCTCCCCCCCTTAAAATCTATTCTTTTAGTAGCCAAAATGACATAAAGTTAATAAATCACACTTTAGTTCTAATCACAACAATCTGTTTCATATTGTTGGCACAGGAACTCCATTGATTTAAAATCATGTTATCTAGAAAAGGCTCACCTATTCTGATTGCAACAGTGACATCAAAGATAAATTTAATAAGAGGGTGGAAGAAGTGAGGGTAGTTTGAAAACAGGAAGATTTTTGAGAAATAATTATCTGCCCAGCTAGCATTTTTTCCCCTCCAACATATTATCTGGGTTTGCATAATAAGCTAGGTTAAAATATGGCTGGTTTGTTCTCAGTATTTTATTTTATAGTTTGTTGTGTTGTATAAACCTAGCAGTTAGGATGATTCTCACAATCATTATAGAATACAACTAGCAGAGTACAGTTACAGATAAGAATACAGCTAGCAAAAAGGATCTATTGAGTTATTTCATCTTGTAGAAAATAGGATCCTGGTGTAAGAAGACTCCAATCAGACAATATCTCGGATATTTCCTCTGTTAGCTGGACTTTTTCTTTCAACTCTCATGGTTGTGTATTTTAATAAATAAGGTCATGTTGTTAGTATGTACTCTGTCTATAACCTTACTGTAAAGCATTTCTTGTTACTCTTACCAGGAAGGCATGATTTGAAGAAAGCTGGAAAATCAGTGATAGATGTATGGATGTGTTTTTTTAGGTTCCCCTACTTTATCCCCACCTTGAAATAATTTGACCACTGCTTTTCTTAAGTGTTCACCAAAATGACAGTGCTTGTCTTACCCTGGATAATCTTGAAAAGCTAATTGGGGTCAGATCTTGGACATGAGCTCCCTGGATGCATTCAGAGTCACAACTTCAGTTGTAAATTTGAAATGACTTTCAGAAGAATATACTGGCAGATCACACCTACATTGTGCTCAGGAAAGCATGGCAATGAAATTTGCCAGAGTCAAGCTCAGTTCAAAGGAATTGATTGTCCAGTAAAATGAATATTTTTATTTGAGCCAGTTCTTTATCATATTATATATTGTTCTTTGAATTTTGTTCCCCTTAAATATTGCACTCATTTGTTGTCATTTGGAGGCAATAGCCCTGAACTAATAGTTCTTGGTAAGCACAGTTATATAGGGAGTCCTCGACTTAACAACCATTTGTTTACTGACAGCTTGAAATTACAATAGTACTGAAAAAAGCGATTTAGGACTGTTTTTCACAATCACAACCGTTGCAGCATCCCCATGTTCATATGATCAAAATTTGGATGTTTGGCAACTGGCATTGCACTGTCCTAAGGTCATGTGATCACCATTTGTAACCCTTCCCAGTTGGCTTCTGACAAGCAAAGTCAATGGGAGAAGCCATATTCACTTAAGAACCATATGATTCACTTAAAAACTTCAGTGATTGGCTTGACAATGTGGCAAAAAGATAATAAAATGAGGTGCAATTCACTTAACAACTGCCTCACTTAGCAATGGAAATTTTGGGCTCAATTGTGGTTGTAAGTTAAGGACAACCTGTAGTTAGGCTTAACTCGACAAGTCATTCATACTATTGTTTTAACTTGCAGGAAAGAGAATCTTATGCTGGGAATTAGGAGTCACGTTAAATTGAAATTGCAGTGAGTCTTGTTGCTGCTCCAGATATGAAATTGGAAGCTCTTTTTTTATTAAAGGCAGTTATGTTCATACACTAAATTGTGATTAATCTTAACTGATTTCTTTGACCTCAGCTTACTTCAGACAAAACATAGCCGACTAAATGTTATATTTTCCTGCTGCTTTCAGATTAAAATGTAAACATTTTGTATAGTGTTTCTTAAGTTTTACTCAGAAGCTTACATGCAGCATAGGAAAATGAATAGTTCAGACAGATAAAGTTGAACATAATCTTTAAAGAAAAACATTAAAGAAAATGTAATAGTTTAAAGAAACTTTTTGAATTTTAAAAAGGATATTTATAAAAGAAAAAAATATTATTCTATGAGGATAGTTTGGAGGGAGGGATCTAAATTTAATACTGAAGTTCAAAGCCTGTACGTTAAGAAATAAAAAAAAAGATGCATTAGAAAGTATTGATTTTAGAAATGTGTTTAAAGAAAACCTTAGCATTTTTAAAAGGGTGAAAAAAAAAAAAGGAGTATTTTTCCCTGTAAGGTCAAAGAATCTGAAAGAATACAGTGAACCTTGTTAATAAAAATGGTGATAGTTCACAAAGATTATTAGATGCAAATAGAAGTAAACACTATTTCCACAGCAAGGAAGATAAAGCAGGAATGGTTATATTGACCATTTTATTCAAAGGAGAAAATATATTTAAGTACTTTTTCTACTTGAATATCACTTCCCGATTTTGGCTTATGATAAAAAAAATGAAATTTTGACTTTGGTTTTGTCGATTAAATAGATTTATAGAAATGGCTAGTTATATACTAATGTATAAAAGTAAAAACTTGAGGCTCAAGTGTTTTTATCTTGAACTGTGCTAAAAGAATGGGAAGTCAATGCCTTTTCTTCTTTTTTCCCTTTTCTCACTTTTTTTTGTCCCCCTCTTTTTTCCTTCTCTTAAATTTCTTATTTCTATTTTTCTTTGTATTTTATATATTAATAAAAAAATACAAAGAACATAATCTTAGCAGTTTTTTTCTTTGTTTCTCTGCATAGCAAAATAATATTGAAAAAAAAACCTATTGCCTTATATGTAATTATTGGATAGAAACACAAAGTAAAATAATGTAATAGGTTTAGCAAAACAAGCCTCAGTTTTCAAATCTCTTTTAATAAAGTAATTAGATTAATTTCCTATAGCAAGGTTTCTCATTGTCAATATCATTACTGAAAACTCACATTCAGATAATGCAAAACTATCTAAATAATGCTTTAAAATTCGAGTGCATGTTTATGTTTAAGGTGCAATGCAAGATGCTAATTGATACTTTAAAAACTCTTAAGTGACATACAGCCTAGTTATTTGAGGTCTGCCTACTCCCATTGTTTTTGCTAGTCAGTAAAAATCTGGCAGAATTGTCTTTCTCCTGGTCCTGTCAATTAAACAATGTCATCTAGCAGGACCTAGGAGGACCCCTGAGAGTCAGATGCCCCCCCCCATCTTACCAGCCCTTAAAATAGCTTTAAAAGTATGGCTTTTCCCCCAGGCCATTGATTAGGGTGATGGGGGTGGGTTTCTTTTGCTGAACTTCCCAAAGTCACTGGAATTGGATGATATAGCCATTTTAGATATAAATAAATAATTTTCTTGTCAATTGGCAAGATAAAAAAAATGTAATCGACAGCATCTAGAACTAGGAAAAATTCTAATTGAGCTATAAAAAGAAGTAATGGGTGAAATATAAATAATATACTTCTGCCTTGTATGTCTCCATATTCAGTCATTGAAATGTTTGGGGGGAAAATGGCTTTCAACTACAGAAATAAGCTTGGGATGTCAAATGATGTTTCTCAGTAAATGGCCTTACATTACATTTTTTTTTAAAAAAGTTTCCTACTTGCTGTTTTTTTACTTTGTTTTACTAAACGCAGAAAACATATATGTTCGATATAGTTCTGATAAATTTGTTGAGTTACATTATAAAGACTTTTATGTAAGTCCTAAATAGGTTTTTAAAATCCTTAGTGAATGAATATCAAGGCATCCTCTCCCTACATATTATAGCCCTCATTCTCTCCCATTATGTTAAATTTGTCCCAGGCCAACAACAACAACAAAAATGTACGATCCTGCTCACTGAACAGGGAAGCACCTTATTCATATATTTTGTGAATGTCTAACCAATACTAATATCTCCCATTCCATTGCTACAGTTGATTTAACTTAGTGGAGTTACTTTATAATCCTGTAATTGTTTGCCAACCTCTGTACGAATTTAATGTCCCAGGCAGTGATGACTCAAGAACAATCAAACTATTTATGTTGATGTGGTATAAAATGGACTTTAATTCCTGTATATTAATATTTGAGGATGGGCTACATGTTCTCACTCCTATAACCTTCAAGCTAGCAATACCTGCTGTTAAAATGAGGTTGATGTAACACAGATATTTTGTGGTAATAGTTTCTTTTACTGCTTTGTTTTGGCGTTTCCAATCAAATCAAGTCAATGCCGGCTGGGGGAGAGCCTTCTCTGTGGCAGCTCCTGCCCTCTGGAATGGCCTACCCCCCGACCTACGTACAACTGCGGACCTGCGCCTCTTTCGCCGAGCCTTGAAAACCCATCTATTCCATGCGGCCGGCCTGGCGTAGTTTTGATTGTGTTTTGGTAGGGGCTTTTATATGGGGTATTTTAGAGCAGGCTTTTTATTTAATATTTATTGTGATTTTTATTATCGCCTGTTCACCGCCCTGAGTCCCGTAAGGGAGATAGGGCGGTATATAAATTTAAATAANACAGCAGAGTGCCATTTTATCCACTAATTATTTATTCCCCACCAGTTTCAAATTTACCGAAGCAGATTTAAGGCTCCAATCAGGGAGATGATTATATACTTGCCCACTGAAACAATTTTGAAAAGAAATGCCATACATTGGACTGCTTTCCGGCATAAATCCCACTAAGACATAATGGATAACTTGCCTTTGTTGGTTGTGTTCTTCTATGACCCTACTGACTATCATATTTGCTTACCTAAAACTAAAATGCTCATTTTTTTCTCTCCCTCTTTTGCTGTTAATTGTAGTAATATTTACAGTAATTTGGTTTTCTATATGCTTCTGTTTTATCTTAGATTATAGATGGCATTCAGACTCTTCAGAACACAATCATACAAAAAGATAATAGGCTCTCCAAAGCAATGATTCATTATGGCTCTTTCCATGTCACCCTTTTAGTGATGCATCTGTCCAATGAAGAAGCAATTAGCAAGTACGTGTTTCATTCTGAAATCAAATGTTGTTTTAAAATCTGTTTTGTTTAGGATAGAACTGGGAAAAGTGTGACAATCGAATGAGAGTAGAAACAATTATTAATTATTTTAATATTAATTATGACATCAATTATGTACCCAGTAACCATTGATACATTATTAATATGAATGTCTGTATTCCAGGAGGAGAATGATTAGTTACTTCTAGATAACTAGAACTAACGCATACTTAGTAACTACATTATGTGAAGGATGGGCTCCATTGATATGTTAGCACTGTACATTAGTACTGTACACATAAATAGTGACACTTAAATTTACCTGGTGAAAACCCAGAAGTGGACACATTTAAATACTGAGATGAGCTTGTGTTTGAGATTCCATGGTGGCAGTAAGAGCACTAAAGTGTCACTTTTTCTCTACATTTACTACATTCATAAATTGCTGCCTAGCTATTCCATTTAGAGGAACCTGGAATCTTTTGAAGAAAGATGAGTGGGGCAGGCACACCGGATGAATTTGTGGGTGTCTTAGTAGATATTTACTCCAGGTTGGATGCTAGTTGGACAGAATCTATTCTAGTGAGCACGTCATCTTTTTAAATTTTAATCTGGATTTCTTTTGAGTTTGGAACCAGAAGGAGTGGTTAATGGTCCACGTAATCTGAATTATGCCAGTTGTGGATTCAGTCCATGTCCTTCCCAGTGCCTTTGGATGGTTAAGTGAGATGTGAGCAAGTTATAAGCACCTTTGTGGGAAAGGATGCAATACTCCTTGCTTTTAAGAATTCAGTAATGTGCTTTTGTCTGAAGAGAGCCAACCCTTTTTAATAACATTCACCCACTTTCTAACCTTGGTTGAGAAGATGGTGCCAAATTAGCTTTGGCCTAAATGAAACAGATTATCCAGATTCTTCTCAGTCAGAATTTAGGCCTGATTATAGGACAGAAATGGCATAGGTTGCTCTGGTTGATTATCTTTGCTATTTCAAGCTAGATCTTAACTTTATACTGTACTTAATGTTGATGGCACCACTAAAGTACGCTTACATACTTTTCATACACTGTTGTACTTGGCTGAGGGCCTATGAATTTTGACCAGAAAAAAGTAGTTACTGTTTTTGGGAACTTTGTGTTCAGCTCTGACTTGTTCACAAAGCAGCTAATGGCTTGAGTTTAGTAAAAATAAATCATGTGGTAAATTGGAGGATATAATGAGTCTGTGGCTGAACTTCTCAACATAACTGTGCTAAAAGCCAAAACATTTCCATTTACTTGCTTCCAGTAATTTTAGCTGTGATCTTAAATCCTACAGTTAGCAGATGTTGCAGCAAAATTTATTTTTAACACAGCTTTACGTTAATAATGAAAAAAGTGAAGAAGTTTCATTTCTGACATAAGCAGTCTCTTAAACATCATTTTTATTTAATGATTTATATATAAAAAAATCAAGCACTGCTTATAAGGACTTGTTTTGCTGCATCCACTGTCTTTTCTTTCTTTTTTCTTTTCCCTTTCTCCCTTTTCCTGCAATTTCTTTGTCTTCTCATAATTCAATTTATGCCTGTGCACTCATTATTTCTGAATGTTCTTTCAGTGCCAACTGGAAGTTCTGTATTCTCTAGCAGGAGTAGTGAAATATGCAAATGACCACTTAAAAATATTGAATATGGAGTTTCATCCCTCACTAATTAAAAAGGGGGTCATATGGAAACAGGGCTACTCCTTCAGTCTGTGTCTCAGCATACCATCAATTACTGAAAAACAGTTCAGCATCTGAAATACAGCATTGCTTCTGGAGATACGAATCAGTCTGCGGTATGTCTTCAAACCTGGGTTTACGAGTTTATTGTTAAAATAGCTCTCTGCCCTTACTGTGTAAAATTGGCAGTAGAATTCCTTTGTACATGCTGTGCTAAATATACCACTTAAAAGTGGTACATTTTCCAACACCTTTTGGCTTATCTTGGTTGAATATTCTTCTAGCCTTTTTTCCCCTCTTGTCATCAAAATAAAAAGTTCTTCCATTTCTCAATCTGATAGCACCTCTTCTCTATGCCCCATATTTTTATTTTGATAGCCATATGATTTTATAAAATGATCACCATTTTATAAAAGTTTGGATGATGGCCCTAGTCTTCTTTGACACTTAACAATCTCAGATGTTTGTATAGCTGTTGCTAATATAATTACCATATTTTTTCCCAGCAGTCACTAAAAGGTTATCTAAATATCTTGCTATCATTTCATCCAGAGGGAATGTTACAGTATCATCTGGCTAGATATGTTTTTTGTAATTGATTCATTCCAGGAAAAGTTTAGATGTCCAATAAGCTCGTTTTCTGTCTTCCATTATCCTTATCTGAGAGGAACCTGTCTGCTGCAAATGGTTATTTCTTGTGACCTCGACCTTGTGTTATCTTAACAGTAGCTTCTCCAATAAGTACATTATATATACTGGTACTTCAACTGTAATAGGAGTTCAGAATGACAGCTTGCTTGTTTGTTAAGCCTAACATAATGTCACTTGAAATATTGACTTGAGTGCATTTACCTGGATTTGACTTTTGTCTTTTACCAAGTGGTTTATAGATACGATAGTCATATTTTCTTGGGAAAAAAATGAAAGACAAAAGGGAAAATCTGAAAAGGATTCATATGAATTTTTTTAAAAAAAATTGTTTATGTTTATAACTTGGTTTTACAAAGGAAAGTTCGATAACAAAACCAAAAAGTAATTAATTATTAAGTAATTAAATTACTTATTAAGTAATTAAATAAATTTAAGGGATAACTTTCTGAAATAAAGGATTGCCCTTTATAATAAAGGATATATGGTCACTGCTGAAAAAAATAGAATGAAAGAAAATAAAATACTTCAAGAATCCATGTTATCTTTCAGAATTTTAAAAGTGCATTCCAAGTTCACATAGCATGGACAAAAGATAATAGATGCTAGCCCAGTCTTGGGTCACCAGCATGATAAGTTTCTGTTGTAATGTGAGATCTAGTGAACTCCAAGCATCACAGTTCTCAGTGAGAAAGAGGATTGATTTTTTTTTCATATAGCAGAACTAAAGCAAAAAAAGTGAGAATCATTCATGCTTTACTTTTGTGGTTACTGTCAGCAAATGAATCAGCTATTGCTTACTTTAGAGACCGTCAACAGAAGGGCTCTGAAACTATTAAGTTTGTAGGACAGCTAAGAACCATTTGCGTTTATAGGGTAGAAAGTGATTAGGGAGAAAATTGGGTGGCTGAAGGCATAGATAATGTTTAAGAAAGTATAAAGAAAAGTATGTTCCTCTGTCGATATATAACTCTTTTTGGAGATATCAAGACCAGGCAGTTAATTAGTGTTCATGTGACTTGATAATTATTATTTTTTACTTATTTAGAAATTATAAATCTGGTGAGTGACTTTTGGAGCTTCCTACATACATGGTTGAGAGTGCGGTATATAAGCCTTTCTTTGTTGGTTTCCTCGCCATGTAATACTTGTTCACACATGCAATCCAACCAGTTACTCTTACGCAGACTCTGTTATCAGATAATGGAAAACCATTCTGATGTGGCTGCTTCCTATACTTGTGATGGATTGAAATAAAGGGCTGCTTTTACTACAGAAACTAACCAATCCCTGCCTCTTTCCTTGACATGTAGGCAGTGAAAGGTCTTGAGTTTCTTTGCAGAATTTAATATTAGAAACAATCATCTGGAGAAAGAGTTGCTATATGTGAACTGAGCCTCAAAACAGTCTATCTTAGTGCATTTATAGTCCAACTTTTTCTAAAACCTCAAGATTTCATGGAAATTTATAAAATCACCCCACCCCACCCCTTTCTATCTCTCATAATAGCAACCTTTTAAAGTTGGGTTATGAGACCCATCCAGACTCCCTGGTCAAGGAGGGATTAAAATTGGGTCTTTGTAGTTCAAATCCAAGAGCTTATCCATTATCCAGGAGCTTATCCATTATCCAGGTTTACTGCTTGCTGTTTTGTTTTCTTATTCTTTTTCCTATGAAATCCACAATTTTACAACAGTGATTTTAAAGCTGTGCTTTAGGAAACAATGATTATTTTGCTACCCTTCTCAATGAATTGTAGTGAGCGTGTTTCTTTGAAAATCAGTTCCTAACTCTGGATTCTTCCCTGTACTGTAGTGTGTTGCCATGGGAGATTATTAAATTTATTTATAGGCACAGTTATACGTTGAAATAATATGGCTTGAAAAGTGTGACACGTGTGATTTCTAGGACATGTCATGGGAGCCTCTACAATTCTCATCAATATTGTAGAAAAGCCCTGCAGAGTTCCACAGTAGACAAAAAGGAGTGGAAAGGGAAAGCTAGAAAATGATTAATTTAAAGGAAATGATTGTCAGAACATATGTCTTATTTGTGTTGTGTTCCGTGTTACTATCCTGAGTCACAGTCAGGGCTTTAGTAGGCTGTCTTGGTAATTATTAAAGGAACTAATTGCATATCTTACCATTTCTTTGCTTAAGGCATACTTTGAGTCAAAATGCATTTTTACAGTACAATGTATGAAAGGAAGGATGCTTGCTTAAAAGGTAGTTACTGCCACCTAGTGATAATTATGTGAATACAATGGCAACAATAACAACAACAACAAAGATTTTAAAGACCTTAATAGGCTTAATAAGGCTGAAATCTTAATGATGCCTATTGGCAGGAAATCCCATTAATTATTTCAAAGCTGTATTGTGTTTTAATCTTATCCTTTTCTCACCAGAATAACACTGAATTATAAGATTTCAAAAACCAGGGTCCTGACCCAAAGTTAACCATATCGTTTTGTAATTTAGCAGGGCTCTGTATCCAACTCTCCCAACTCCTAGTTTGATACTTTACTTCATCCTTAACACTGAAAGAACAAGATTCTTTTTTTTTTTTTAAAAGAAGACAGATCAAGTTAAATTTTATTTTTTTTCCCCTGTGGCAAAATATGTCATAGGAATATTGCACTATGCAACTTGATCTGAAACCATGCTAGGGAAAAGGCATTGTCTCTACTGGGTGTGTTAGATAAAGCGGTGTGCAAAAGTTGCCAGGATTGGCAACAAGGAAAAGCTGGAATATCATTGATGACTTTCTTGCCTTCATTCAAACTGCAAACCTACAAGAAAGCATTGTAGCTTGCCCTGGATTTATCTATATACTGCTAAAACTCTCGTGTCTGTAAACTGCGCAAAACAGTGTATCGTGGGGCAAAATGTTTTCGGCTAGGATTTCTCAAATGAGCTAACCATAAGAATGAGTCTAAAATCCAGGACCCAGGAATCCTGTGAAACTGAAATTTGGCAGATTTCAGAAAACATTTTATGACACAAAAACGATCAGACACCGTTTCATGTCAGAATACAAAATGTCATAAAACATTTCCTGTGCTCAGGTCCTGATATTGGACTGTGCTACACAGTTTAACGTGGGCTCCTTTCAAGGCAGATACGTCTTTTAAAATTTTTGAAATACTTTTCAGGCCTATTAGAAGTTCTGCCATTGTTGAAGGAACTGAGGAATCTGATAAGGAAATATATCTGAAATCATGAGCCAAAGGGGTCACGAATTGTCTAGTAGCTCAGTAAAACTAACGTCGTATACAACTGCATATGGCAAATCGATAATTAGTATTCTCCAAACGGGAAATCTATGAAATATAATCATGAGGGAGCCCATGTAGAAAATGATGAACACTGTTTGGACAATGACATCCCTTTTTTAAAACAACGCAAGTGGCCTCGTGAAGAAGGAAGGCCTGGTGTGGCCAGCAGCTGCCTTGGGTAGGGCCAGGCTTTGCATGCCTTGTCTGCAGAGGGAGGAAGACAGCACAGATCAACTAGGCACAGCAGGCTTGAGGATGGTGGCAGCTGGTGAGACAGTAAAGGCCCAAGCCTCTTATTTCAGCTGTAGCATTGCTGCGGCCACTGAGGAGTGTCTCTGTCCAAAGTGGCCCAAAAGGCAGAAAGTGGAACGGGGTAGGTAGGAGGAGTTGAAGCTTCCTGCAGTCCTAATTTTTTTGTGAGCTGCAAAACACTCAAATTCTGATCGTGTGACCATGGGGGCACTGCAATGGTAATAATTTTGGGGATTGGCTATAAATATCATTCATTCAGTGCTGCTGTGACTTTGGACACAGAACCAATGATCATTAAGTGAGAACTACCTCTAGCAAGTTAATGTAGCGATTGTATGTATTAAATCAGATAAATGGACTGATAGATTAATATATATATATAATTATTTTCTTTCCGATAGTGCAGTTGGTGCTTTCTCGGAGAGTGGAGGTTTAATTGAAGAATTACTGCAAGGAAAGCCTTTGAATTTATCTTTTCAAGGCACTGATCACTTCAGAAATCAAATTGGATTTGTAAAGTTGACTGAGAATGATAACACAAGCACGCTTTTAAAGGCAGCAGGTAAATCTTTTCAAATATTATTAAAAAGTAGTCTAATTTTTTTTTTAAAATGTTCTTCAGATATAGCTGCTACATTAGTCCTTGAGTAAGTTTGATCCATTTGTGAATGGAGTTAAAGAGAACATGGAATAATAGCTCTAGAAATGAAGATAATATCACTATACTACCACTCCTATAGAATGATTGGCAACTACATGATCATTCACCAATTCAAGAAGGATTAGATACCCAGTCTTGATTCAGATATAATCTGAAGCCTGAGATTACAAGCTATGAGAACAAGCAGAGTTACACTTTGGGCACCTGCTATCCTTTCTCATTATTTTTATTTCATGCCTACAAAAATGAGTTTCATATTAAAGGCTAATTACAGTTCTCTGTGATGTTTGTAATTGAAGAACTCATAGTGTTGAGGCCAAATATAGTCTAAAAACACAGCTTGATCTTGATTTTTTTAGTAACATTACTTAAGCAGCTACACTTTTCCGCATTGTGGAAATAATTAGCTTTCACAGGTATGGAATAGGTTGCAGACGTGAACATGTGATTTATTACAATTCTTTTTTATAACTGGAAACTATTATTTTTATTATATCAGAAACCAAGATAACAGTAAAAGAAAGATTATCATTAATATATTGTTGTGATAGCTGTGCATGCAATACACAGCTGTATCCCTCGTCCAATTATGAAGAGAGCAACAATTGTTATCTGCAGTCACAGAGCTGGAGGTTTTCATAGGCAGAGACTCAGATTCATCGATAATCTAAGCATCTGGAAACCAATCTCCATATTATGGAAAAAGCCACAACCAAACAGAAGAATAAAGTCTGCCATTGCTGTCTCATCTGTGAGATCATGTTTGAAGGTTACAAAGCCAAGGGTTCTACATGAGATTGGTTGGACTGCACTGAGCAATAAGGCATCCTATGTAGATAATGCTTCAAACACAGAACTCTGGCATAATCACTAGCTTTCCCATTGGAAGTAATTCTCAACCCATTTTAAAACCACCCTGTGATTTCTATACGTTGTCCTTGCCATTTCCAGATCAAAAACACTTTTAGTTTAATGTCTGTATGCTTGTGGGTTTCGGATTTGCAAAGAGCAACTTCTGATGATGAGCTGGCCTATGGCCAACGCCACAGAAAGTATAGCCAAGAGGACCCATCCTATATGCTTCAAATCTGCAAATTGCTATGTGTTCCCAGAGCTTATAATGCTACTGAGATTTTTTTTAAAAAAAAAAAACAACCTTTTCCCTTTCCTTCACCAAAAGAGGAGTAATTAAGTTCCTGGGCATCCTTGCATAAATGTGTTTGTATATATATATATACATACTTGTATATATACATATACATACAAATTCGAATTTCTTTTTTTTAGTTGACAAAGAGTTAAAGAGTTAACTCTTCAAGCTATTCTAGTTTCCCATTTAACTCTTTAACTCTTTGTCAACAACAAAAAAAGAAATTCGAATTTGTAGTGTATCCAGTAGCGACTTGAGCCTGCTTAACGCTCCTAGTTTGGGGCTGCAAGGCAAAAGTGATCATAATAGTAGAACTACAATATAGCAGTCAAAAAAACCAAGGTGCATCAACCAGACCAGTCTGATCAGGAAAAAAACTTTCTACATATACATACATACATACATACATACATACATACATACATACATACATACATACTATGTATGTCCACATTTATCTGTTGGATTGTAAAACATTCTTCCTGATACATTTAAGATCTAATTCATTTTGAAAGTATTAAAAATATACAGAGAAGCCTAAAAAAAAATCTTATTCCATAGCTCTACAGTTTTACAGAATCCTTCAAGAGGAAATGTGTATTCCCTGAGAGCAACTCCTGAGAGCATTGCATGGCTAAGAGCTTTTTTCCTGTTGGATTGTGTGAAATATGAACTGGGAAGCAAGGGGCAATCACAGGAGTATATTTAGTGAAAAAAGCACAACACAAAAAAAGTAAGATGGACTGCTACAAGTTTCATCGGTTGCTTAAGTGTAAAGAAAACAGTTAATACTTCAAGTGTATCAAGGAAGTAGAGTTTTTAGCTTAAACATCAGTGGAGGTTTGCAGTTGGTGTCTTGTAAAGGTGGGGTATGTGTAAAATTTCTATCTGTAGGATTTATTTCATGTTCTACATATTGATATTTGTCAGGGTGTAAGTTTCATGAGGATAGGAATGGGAAAGGAAGGTTCAATGGAGAAAGTAGTGTCAAAGATATGATTTTGTTTGGCAATATTGATTTTAGGCCAATATCTTAGAAAGTTTGATTGTAATTGCAATTTTGCTTGGCCACTGGATACAGCACTTTACCCAAATACACAGATTTATGGAAAAAGAAATTATCTCTGGCAAGTAATCAGGATGGCTACAATTTTCAGAATGAGATGTAACCCTGTTGTCATGTATCACTTGTTAAAAAAAGCAGAAAAAAGTAAAGCCTTTTCTTAGGAATTGCCCCATGATTTTTGCCAGGTATATGAGAAATGAGAGATTATAGCCATTAGATCCAATTGAATGGAACTTAAAATGGAACAATGCAAAATGTGATATTAAAAAACCAGAAACCATCTCATCAAGCAAAGTGTTGGAAAAATAAATTAACAAAAAGATCTCAGTCTTGGAGAAAAGCCTAGAGTTTGACATTGTCCTTTTAGACTGTTCCCCAAATTCCAATCATTTCTTGAAAAGTTTTCCTTTAAGACATTATTAGATATAATGAATGTCCTTTTGTGCTCTAAGGAATGTGAAGTCGTACCATGCCTGAATATTGCGTGACTCACATTAGGAGAATTTTTCAAAGTTGCAAAGGCCACAGCCATCTTGATTATGTTTTGCGTAGCTCAATATAAGATTCACAGGCGTTCTATGTATTTCTCTAATTTCCAAATGATTAGTATGAAACTGGAGGATGGAGATGGGGGCAGTTTTAGCAGCATTGAAAACATTCTCAGAGAGAATGAGATGAGCATGTTGTTCCACTCATGGAAAATAAAATACACATCTTTTGAAATAAATCAGGACTTCTTAGAAAAGGAACATTTTTCCCAAGTTGGACCTTGGTAGCTAAATAACCATTTCCAGTTTTAACCCAAAAGCTTCTAGTATTGTATACTGCAATAGTTAAGCATTATTATTTTTTGTAGCATTATATCTCTTTGATATGACAGCCAATTTGATATAGTGGATAAGATAAAACTAGGAATCGTAAGTTCTGTTCCAACCTTAGGCATAAAAGCTGGTGGGGTAACTTTGGGCTAGTCACATTCCCTCAACCCTAGGAAGAAGAAATTGGCAAACCACTTTTGAAATTTTGCCAAGAAAATGTTCCAGGCAGTTTTCAGATGTCAGTGACTTGAAAGTACAAACAACAACAACAGCAACCTTGTATTTTAATTTTAAATCTCTAAACAAGATATTTCTAGGAGCAATAAGTAATAACCAATTATAAGAAAAACACAAAAATAAATATCAATCACTCTAGTGGTCCTTTGTTCTACCCAGTTACATATGACGCCATGAAGTATCTCGTACCATGCAACATTTTTCCTGACAACTGTGTTTCTAGAAATTCACAGTTAAAAATAGGGTCAAGTATCTCATTTATTTATTTATTTATTTATTATCCCAAAGATCTCTGTTACTTGGGATGGCTTAGTCAAATGATTAATTTATATGACATTGTCAGGTGATTTGAAATGGGCTGTGCATGCAAGAAACCCATTATGGATCACACAGCTGAAAAAATTCTTCATGGAGAAGTGGGAAAAAAATCCTTCCAGTCAGTATCAGAAACTGGTTGACACTGATGATAAATGCTTACTTGAGTTTGTTTCTGCCAAAGGGGGCAAGGAGCTTTTTCCATGGAAGGAAATTCATATGTGTTAATTTTATAAATAAATGATTGCAAAGTCAATTTTGCATAGTTCAGTACAGGTGATGGTTTAATTACATCATCTTTATTTTTACATACTGCTTGAATGAAAATAAGATATTGATATGTCTGCAAATGTTAAAAATGAAAAAAAAAAACTATACATGGGGTGTACTTAACTCCATCTGCAAGGAGATAGCAAGAAAATTAATGCCCCAGCCATTGTCCTTCCTCCCATCTTCCTACCTCTAGCACTGTTTTCCTTTGTCCTGTGAGGAAGGAATGTCATTCGTGATTACATATGGGAGGAGAAAAGTTCAGATAGATGGGAATCCTAAAGGAATAGCAGGTACTCTGCCAATGGGAAGCCAGCTGTTTCAAATGTGGAAGGGGCCAAAGAAATCATTCTGCTTCCACACACTTTGCTTCTGAATCCAGAATTCATCTGAAACTTGCATACAGCTCTTTGTTTTCTTTCTTTTTCAGTTTGAATGTATTTTTTTTACTTGCTCTTTCTTCTATTTCATTCCTTCTCTTCCCTCCCCCAATTTAATTAATTTAAGAACCAGGCTTATTCTTGTACGTTTTTCATTACTTTCCTAAAACTTGCAAGAATTTGGGGGGGGGGGGAGGGAAAGAGAGTTGTTCTTGGATGTTATTGAAGATGTGACTTCAGTTTTTCATAACCAGATAACAGAAAATCTGTTAGGAATTCTCTCTGTGATTTTATCACTTAACTATTTCTATTCTTTGTTGATGAGATTGTTAATCTCAAATTCCTCCTTCCTGTTTTTTTGCACATGAACATTCTATTCCCAACTTTGTCTTTAGTACGATGTAGTTAGATAGATGCTGCTGTTCTGCCTACCTAATATTTTTTTTTCTGTAACTAAAATTTATTTATGTTAAAGCTACCAAACCTGCTTTAACAGACTTTGCATAGGGTGGGCCACACACTTTAGGAACACAAGTCATTTCTTCCAACAGATGCATCTATTCTACATATGGCTTTTGGATACATCTCATAAAAATAAATACATATTATTATGCGTAATCTGTTTTCGTCCATTAGTTGTCATTTGTAAGCAAAAGAAACATTCT